GCTACTAACATACTAAATTCATGTCCGGACAAGATACCAACTACAGTCTTTTTGGAACAAAAAAAACTTAGATATCATGTATAGTCTTCTGACGAATCAATAGAGAAGATTAAGGAAAATACAAATCTTTTTGGAATAATCATCGTACTGGACATCTCATTGCTATCTATCGAATGGATCTATGAATTAATTTTGATAGTTTCAATAGTAACAAAAAAAATCAATTCAAAATAAAACGATTGCGTTTTTTTTTCACGTAGTCTTTTAATTTCCGATTTTAATTTTTGTTTTCCAGCTTATGATTTCAATATTTCTCAATACGTCGATTCTAATAATCTGATTTCACGCATCCTTAAAAAATGATTTTGTATTCATGTATGTCTAGTTTCTGGAAGCGCCAACGATTCTAATTTCTGATTTATAATATGTGCTAATCTGATTTCTGATTTATGAATTGTGTTAATCTGATTTTTAACTCATGTAAATTGAAATATTTCGTTATTTTTCTTAACTTCTTTTTTGTTAGTTTTCCGATAAAAAGTAAATTTATTTGTTTTTTTTATAATACATAATTTGAAACTTCAACATCACACGTTTTAAACAACGATTCAAAAATTATTATCCCTGTTGAAAAACAATTAAACACCACATGTTCATATTTAGGTGTTTTCGTTTCCTTTATTTACTTTATTCTCATTGTTTTATAAGTTTACAATAATAACATGTCTTGAAAATAATTATTGGGTAGTGAGATAAAGAAAGAATATATATATATATATATATATATATATATATATATATATATATATATATATATATATATATAAACAGAAGAACTAATGTTATTATAAAAATGATTCCAAGGATAAATTGTAACAAGGGTTTATTCTAAATAAATACAAAAAAAAAGTCATCGTCTTTTACTAAAAAAATTTCTATTGGGCTTATTTTTTTATATTTTGTCTGGACCCTTAAATTGGCTTGGACCTACCCTATTTGTTTTAGCCTAGTACTCTGCTTGTATCTATAAGGCTACACATAGTGGTCTCGATGGGGAGTCGGCATGCCCGACGTGTGCCATTGGCACTAACGGCTACACCGTCTCACCTAGAGGTACCGCTCAAAATTATGTCAGGGCATCTCTACGTTGATGGCTTCCCCATCTGTACCCTAAAGACTTGTATCATATGTAGTGTGTGTTGTCTCAAAGGTGGGGATAGAAAGATGTTTATTTTCATGGTTGTTTAATGGTTGAAAGATTGAATGAAAAAAAAAGTTTATTGATCGATGTGGTACTAATATGGCCAAATTGATGAATCGATAGATATACGACTATATATATATATATATATATATATATATATATATATATATATATATATAACCCCTAGTAGGTTTGAGTTTTGTTGTTATATTACAATTTAAAATAGATTTCAAGTAGTTTTCAGTCGGCGATATGTGAAATTTGATATAAAAATATGACTTTTTAAAAAGAGTTATCTAATAAAATAATTACAAAAGCATCTTATTTTAGATGAATTCGGGCGTGTTCGGCAAAAGTAGCTGGTAGCGGGTAACGGGTAGCTTGTAGCGTTTTGTTAAACGCTACATGAAGTAGCATTTGGATTTGGAGCGTTTTGTTTAAACCAAACGCTAGAAGCTTGTAGTGTCGAACGAGACTTTCTATTCAAAACGGAGCGTTTTATTAAACGCTACAAGCTAAAAGCTCTCAAACACTCCCTAAACGCTCCGTACCGAACGTGCCCGAAACTAGAATTTATGAACAAACACAATTTCTTTCCTTATGTGTCAATATGATTTTATAATTCATTATGTATTTTTAAATTAGGAAAAAAACGCGGGGTGCAGCAGAAAATGTCTAAAATCTATATACACGACACCCTGCACAAATTCAGAGAAATGCAATTGCCATTAAATTGGGGTTACATTGCCGACCCAATTGTCTCTGCAAACAGTGCTATCCCCAATTAATACGCCATTAATGGAACATCATCACATCCTTCATTGCCCACCGCTGTTTCCAGCACACATATGCGCGATTTAGGGTTTGTTTTGATGGGCTTAATTTCCTAATGATGGGTTCTATATTACTATATTCTCAGTCTACTGATATGGGTCGATGATTCCAGGTCGACTTTGGTGTTCTGATTCAATACTAGAAGAACTTTTGATTGTATTTAAAGGGAAAAGGTATCTCATGATCGTTGATCTGATTTGATTTGATTTCAAGATGAAGGCTTTTGGATTATGGGTTTTGTTTTTGGTGTTTGCAACAGCTTTAATCTGCTTATGTTTTTCTTCATGTTCTGGTAATCTCTCTAATCCTTGCTGTTTACTGTTTACATCTTTTCTAATCTACTCTATTCACAATTCTCAATACAACATCAAAAAAGATAATAAATAGGAAAAAAACAGTATTCTTTTGGATAATCCAAAGTAGAATAAGCTGATTATATATTTTTAAGGGAAGGAATAGTTCTTTTGATGAAATTCAGTAACAATTGTTTTTGTATGGGGCTATGTAGAAGCAAGCATGAACCTACACAAGGGCAGGAAACTTAAGGTACACAAGTGATATACTTCTCTGATACACACACATTAACTTCAAGTCTTGAATATATTATAGGATTTAATTGTTTTGAAAGGCTCAATTATATGGATTGAATCAAAAGTAGAAGCTTGTGTTATGTGGCAGGAGGATATGAATCTTGATGATGAAAGCAACATAGATTTGTTTGATTATCACAAGATCAATCCTGTTCCAAGTTCAAAGGCCTCAATAAGGCCAGGACCCATTCAACATGGGACTCCTCTTATGCCTTTCATCCCCAAGGATCCACCTCCTGGACCTGATCATGGCAATGATGCTGATCATGTAGTGTTTCCTTAGAATGTTTCTTGTATGTACTTTGATGATTTCAATTATATGTGTTTAAAGTTTAAACATTTCCATTGTTTGTATGTAAAGAAGTTCTAAATGTATTGTCATACAACCCATCCATTAATCCATTCCATGTAGATTGGAGCACATTAGGTTTTGTATCAAAGGGTCGTAGTTTGATAAATATCTATGAAACCATTGTTTTGGTTGACTTTATTCACAACAAATTATATCGTCTTTTATAAAGAAAGTTGGTTTCAAAGAAAGTTAAGGGACTAGAACTGACCGAAGGAATAGTTAAAGGTCTAAAGATTACGAATATAGACGAAGGGGGCTTGATAGACCCTGATACATTCTTGATTTGATACTCAGGCTAGGATAGAATTAAAGATAGATTTCCATTCATTCGAGAGGAATGGTCTCTCCAAAAGAAGAACAGAGTTCTCTTACAGATTAATTCTTAGCTACCTAAACAAGGACTCTACACTACCTTAAATATAACAATAATAAGACAAAATAAAGTAGCCACAGATCTCAGAAAAGGTTTGTCCCCCACAACAATTGTTTCCACCCATGATTGGCTGCAGACTCACTAATTGAAATATTAAAATAAAAGACTAAACTACCCCTTTGGCCAAATACCAACAAAACATGAAGGAATCACCCAATTTTCCTTTTTGCCCTTTGCTATAAAATAGTAAACTCGGGGGCTTATCAGGGCTAAAGTGAATTTTTTTCCCCATATATAAAATGCAATGAAGAGAAGCGAATGTGAAGGGAGAGAACCAGAAGAGGAAAAGATACGTGTTTTTAAATATGCCTCGATCCTCACCATATATAAATCCCTGAAAACTTGGCCATAGAGGTATAGGGTTCGACCATATAAGCAAATCAAACGAAATCGTGGAGAGAAGAAAATCAGAGTTTTAAGAAGCATTGGAGTAGGAAGCTTTCATTCGTTTCTGATATCGGGTAAGATACATGTTCTTCTTGTTGATGCTAGTTCTCCTCCATTAATTAGTCTAGCCAAGCTATTTGTAGTTTAGCTTAAATCATCCTTAATAGTAATAAGGATCAGAGAGTCCTAATTCTCGAACAGTAGATTATCACCTTCATCTTCTATTCATTGTTCAAAAATTTGTATAAGAAAAACACAAGTTGCAGACAAGTCTCCTATGGCTGCGTAGGTCGAATATTAATTATGTTAAGGAAGGTGATAGATAAGGTTAAACCGTTAAAATATAATCTATGTATATAGGGCTGATTTTTATTAAAAACACGAGTTTTCTGAATTTCCAATAAAGTGTTGTATGGTGATATTAAATTACAAAGCCAGTCCCTGAGGTTTTATACCGTTCAATTAAAATAACTTTTTGGAAATTACAGTTTTGGCCAAAAACAAATTCCATGGATATTTCGGTTTTATTAAATCATACTTATTATCGGGCTTTCTAACTACTCAACTTTAAGTGAAACTAAAAGTGTTTAGAAGTTACTATACCTCAAAAGCTGAAATATGCCTTAGAATCAATCTTTAACCGGCTTAATCTTTCAGGTCATACGTATATTGGACCAGAGCACTTGCTTCTTGCTTTGCTTGATAAGGATGGGGGTGAAAACCGTGCTCTTAGGAATTTTGGTGCATACGCAAAGGACATTCACAAAAAGGCAAGTGTAGTGTAGTTAACTTATATGTCATATATATGCTATATAAAATGATGTTTTGTCATATATGCAATCTTTGAGAAGCTAGGTGATGAGAATGATTGATGAGAGTAAACAAGAAAGCTCTAGCGACAAGATGCCAATTCTGGAAGAGTATGGTGTTAACTTAGCACAGCTAGCAGAGGTAGGTAACTTGTATACTTGTAATATACAACAAATGATTTACCTACCTACCATTGAGTTTATGTTATAATTAATTTTTTCCATTTTACAGACTTGGTATGATCCTGTTACTGATGAAAGGAAAGCACAAATCAAAAGAGTTATTCAAATTTTGGGAATACATACGAGAAACAACCCATGCCTTGTTGGGAAACCCGGTGTTGGAAAGACATATATTGTACAAGGCGTCACCAAAAATATTGTAGACTTAAAAGGTCCTTTCAGTAGGAAGAAGGTAAAATTTTACTTTTACTTTTACCCACAAGAGTTTGTTAATGTTAATTGTTTTTCAGATGATTAGTCTAGACATGCATCGACTTTTTCAAGGAAGGTATGAGGAGAGACTAAAGAAGCTAATGGAGGAAGTCGAGGAAAATGGTGGTGAAATTATTCTCTTTATTGATCAGCTCCGTACTTTATTTGAAGCAGGAGCCTCAGAGACGGCTATTTGTGCTGCTAACATCTTGAAGCCAGCTCTTGCTAGCGGTAAATTGCAGGCAAGTGACTGTGATTGAACATTATGTTGGGAAATCTAGGGTTTATGGTGGAGATCTGGATACCAACTTGGATCGTGATATCACTTTCCGAACTGATATTTCTACCATATGCCTGGGTTACAAGAAAT